TGACCAGGACATCTCAAATGTTTTAAAACGAATAAAATACATCTCTTCGGAGATGCTTGGATAAAGTATTTATCATGTTTTCTGGGAACAAATTCCGCAACAGTTTTTTTTAAAAGATTACTCTGATTTTAAAACAAAGCATAAACAAATCGGTCTTTTCTGGCCGTGAATTTGGGGATGTCACACCAGATATGTGAAGTATGTGAATATTTGTATGAATATATTGTATGTTATGTTATATTGTAACTCATGAGATTTGTTTGTCTGATAGATGTTGTTTCCATGTGTTTACAGGTTCATGTAGCAAACCATAAAGAGAGTGGGCTAGGAGCATCAAGGATATTGGACTAGACTTTTGTTTTATGTTTTATCTTTATTGCTCTAACTGTGGTTAGGATATGAATTGGTAACACTCGTTGATGTTTTCTAGGAATACTTTTAAAGATTTTTGAAACAATGGTATTTGTGATGGCATGTAAACTTTAAAGATTAAAAATACCACCATTTGTTAGTAAAAATAATCATTTTTTTAAAGATTGAACATAAAATAAACTTACCTGATGCATTCCAAGTGATAATGCAACTGCTTTTGCTCCAATTTTGGAGGCAAATATCTCTGGTAACAGTAGAGTAGGAACAGAGTAGGAACAGGGCAGCACCAAGTGAAAATGATAGCTCATACCTGAAGAATTAATAATTAATATGTTGTGGGTGATTAATTAGATGAATAAAGGTTGTGAGGAATAGAATTTATATAATTTTTTAAAAAATTTGAACTTAGAAAATAGTTTTGTTGACAGCAAGTGGTCCGGAATATGGCGCCAAAACTTTCCAAGTGAAGGATAATGAGAGCAGCATCATGGAAATAGCCTTGCAAGCAAAACATGTATAAAATATTTTTTAAATGGGTTTGAAGTTTATATAATTACAAAAATGATATACAACAAAATTGATCATCTTTTTAACCAATTGCACAAAATGACCACCAATTTCGCTATTGGTTAGTTGACAATTGCGAAATTGCTTATGAATGGTCTTCACCTCAAAAAAAAACTTGAAGAAAAAAACATTTTTAACAATTTTATTGTAGAATTGTTCATATTTTCGCGAAATTATGATTTCATTTCGCAAAATAATGAAGTCATTTTGAAAAAAGTATTTAGATTCTTTACTGGTTTTTGCATCCTTTTGCTTGTAAAAAGTAATTTGTAACTTTATTATGAGATTGTACATATTATGTCATAGAACTGTGTCAAATGATGTAAACACAAGTTGTGTGAAACAAACTTTATACATAGGGGAAGCATGTCGCGGTACCTTTGAAAGTCGGTGTACAAAGCAACGCTCAAAGTCTTGACCAATAAGATATTATTAGTCATCTTAAAATTTTACGTCGCACTCTGACACTTAAATCGTTATTTGTCTAAAAAAAATGTTATTCCTACATTATGTTATATTGTAACTCACGAGATTTGTTTGTCGGATAGATGTTGTTTCCATGTGTTTACAGGTTCAGGTAGCAAATCATAAAGAGAGTGGGCTAGGAGCATCAAGGATATTGGACTAGACTTTTGTTTTATGTTTTATCTTTATTGCTCTAACTGTCGTTGATGTTGTCTGGGAATACTTTTAAAGATTTTTGAAACAATGGTATTTGTGATGGCATGTAAACTTTAAAAAGTAAAAATACCACCATTTGTTAGTAAAAATAATCATTTTTTTAAAGATTGAACATAAAATAAACTTACCCAATGCATTCCAAGTGATAATGCAACTGCTTTTGCTCCAATTCTGGAGGCAAATATCTCTGGTAACAGTACAGTAGGAACAGAGTAGGAACATGGCAACACCAAGTGAAAATGATAGCACATAGCCAAAGAATTAATAATTAATATGTTGTGGGTGATTAATTAGATGAATAAAGGTTGTGAGGAATAGAATTTATATATTTTTTTAAAAATTTGAACTTACAAAATAGTTCTGTTGATAGCAAGTGGTCCGGAATATGGCGCCAAAACTTTCCAAGTGAAGGATAATGAGAGCGGCATCATGGAAATAGCCTTGCAAGCAAAACATGTATCAAATATTTTTTAAACGGGTTTGAAATTTATATAATTACAAAAATGATATGCAACAAAATTGATCATCTTTTTAACCAATTGCACAAAATAATGACCACTAATTTCGCTATTGGTTAGTTGACAGTTGCGAAATTGCTTATGAATGGTCTTCATCTCAAAAAAAAACTTGAAGAAAAAAACATTTTTAACAATTTTATTGTAGAATTGTTCATATTTTCACGAAATTATGATGTCATTTTGCAAAATAATGAAGTCATTTTGAAAAAAAAAAATATTTAGATTCTTTACTCGTTTTTGCAGCCTTTTGTTTGTAAAAAGTAATTTGTAACTTTATTATGAGATTATACATATTGATGTCATAGAACTGTGTCAAATGATGTAAACATAAGTTGTGTGAAACAAACTTTATACATAGGGAAAGGATGTCGCGGTACCTTTGAAAGTCGGTGTACAAAGCAACACTCAAAGTCTTGACCAATAATATATTATTAGTCATCTTGAAAATTTTACGTCGTACTCTGACACTTAATCGTTATTTGTCTAAAAAATGTTTTGAAAAAGTAGAGGTTCTCATAAAAACATTTTTTTATGAATAGTATATGGAGATGCAGATAGTGTCGACGTCATCACAATGTCCGGACACCCATATATTGGTAGGATGCCCGTACAACGTTCGGAAGAACATACATACAGACATTTGACGTTTGTAGAGTAACACTGTTACCGCTCAAATTTCGATCGAGTTTTTTCTCACAGACCTCTAAAAGATGAGTGGTGAACTCTTGCCCAATTCTTGAGCTCCAACTCTCTTTCTAGAATTTGAATTTATGAAGAACCTTGATGATTGGCAAGAAATTAAAATCAAACATATCTAAAACTCCAAATTTGATATTCTCTTCTTGTGAGTTTTTTGACATCCAACACATTTTTAAGTGTTTGAACTTGTGTGATTATCCACCATCTTCACTTAGTATTACGAGAGCGAGAGTGAATCTTATAAAGTGCTTTGGGCGTCAACATAAAGATTTCTTATAGTGGGTTAGATGTTAAACTTGTGGAAAATAAAAAGACTTAACAAGTTTGAGTCAACATCTCTAAATAATCAAGTCTAATTTCGTTACCACAACTACATCTCTTTCTACAATTGTGATTTACAAGCCTTTATATTTGTTTAATGCAACAAATTTGTATTTTATAAAAAAAAGGGATCATGAGACAGCTAGAAAGTAGAAACCAACCAATATATATACATATAAGAAGCTTTAGTTTTTAATTTTTTACTTAAAAATAAAAAATAAGTTTTATTAAGTGTATATAACTATAAACTCAAATCCAAAAGATTCATCAAAGCTTCAAAGAACATTAAGAACCAAATTATCAAATCCTAGTAAGCACACCAAATATGACACAAAAATTAAAAAAAATGTAAAATGCAAAATATAATATTAAACACTCGATTATATAGATTTATTACTTTCCTTACAACAATTATATTTTTTTATGACATTATCTCATGCCACCCATGTCATGATCATCTTCATCATCAAGATCCAAGTCATTCGACAGCCTGATTTTTCGTCCATCTCTTGGTCCTGTTCTTCCTTTCTTTGGTTTTCCTCTAAAAGAAAATAAATCAATCATATCAAGGGCATTTACGTCTTTTTGCACAAACTTCATTTTTTTTTATCCCATTGACATCAATCTTGGTAATGGGTAATGATGTTTGTATAGATAAAGTATTGTATTCTAAGACTGAACAAAGCGTCTGAATGAGACCAAATGACAATTTTACCCTTTCATTCCACCAAATGACAATTTTACCCTTTTATACAAAAATAAATAAAAGTGGAAACGTGTACTTACTGTCCATTAATAGTCAAGCCTCCACCTTTAGGTCTGCCTGGACCTAAATCTGATCTTCCCTCTAATAAAAAAAAAATACAAATTATAAAATAAAAATCAGTCAAAATCACACAGTATTAAAATAAAATGTAGATTTTTTGAAAAGAGAAGATATTTTAAAGAGTAAAATTGTTAATTAAAACAAAAAAAAAATTAACCTTCCCTTCCTGCTCCAAGTTCTTCAGCCTGAAAAAAAATACAAGTGAAATAGAAATTAAAACTGTTTCCTTTTTCTTCATTATGTACATCAAATTCTAATCTTTTTCTTTTTGTAAATAAAAGTGAAATGAATTTTAAATAACCCAAAAGTTAAGGAGGTATAAATAATAAAGAGAACTTATATTTTGTCCTAATAAGAAACAAACGGAAAGTAAGGTAGACTTTTCAAAGTAAAAACCCTCAACTTTGTCTTTTTTTCCGAAAAAAAATACCCTCTACTTTCTAACTGTTTCCGAACAAATCCTCCACTTTTTTAGTTTTCCCGAAAAACCCTCACATTTTACAGCTTTTTTCGGATTAAAATGACTAAAATGCAAGGTCTTTTTCAGGAAAAAAAATAAGTTGAGGTTTAATCCGGGAAAAACACAAAATATAAGGTCTTTTATGAAAATATGATAACAACTTGATGTAATAGAAAGAAATGAAAGTGGGATGCTATAATACACATAACAATGAAATTACATTGCTATTTCTAGCATTTAACCTTTTAAATTATCCCAAAAAGAATATTTTAACACTCATATACCGATTTACCCCTTAGTTAATGAGTTTTTAGTTGTATAAACAATCATTAAACACTTGAAAGTTAATTTAATCCCCCTGACATTGAAAATATGAATTCTCTGAATAAAGAATTAGGCATGGAATTGAATGTATAATACTATAAATATAATTATGTCATTTTCAATTAATTTATAAAATTACCGCTGGTGAGGTAACTGATGATAGGGAGAAAAGTCTATCTTCATGCTGGAATTTTCTTGATCTTTTCAAGCTGCATATAATGATATCAAATTTAGGGTCAATAAGTAGACTAGTAGAGTAAAAGTAACACCTCATAGTTTTCAATAATATTAAAAAAAAATGTAATATTTGAACAGATGCTGCATTTGAAAAGAGCAACAAATGAATGAAGATGAAAGTTAAAAGAAATAAGTAAAATGAGATACATACTTTGTGGTGTTCTTTGAGGAAGAAAGAAACCCTTCATATCCTTTCCACACGTTTCCAAAATTGCTTGATTCTTGTAAGTAGCTTGTCTCTAATTCATAAACCTATCTTAATCATTCCAACATATAAACATTGCTCAAAAAACAAAGGAAATTTTCATCAGCAATTGAAGGCATATAGGGGAATTTTCTTATTTGTGAAATTATATACAACTAATAGCATTCATTTTATATAACTAACAGCATAGTAGCTCTTTAAATTCTTCCACAATGTGTAGATCCTACTTTTTCAATCTGCCATAATCATGACTTTAGCAGACACAATTATAATTATATGCTCTCTTCTTTATATATTTCATTGTAGATTCATCAAAAGATGTATCATTATTTCATGAAACATCTATTTGGTTGCAATCTTTTATTATGTCTAAAGTTGGACAAATTTGGAAGATATATTAGTATTTAATAGTCAATTTTTTGTGATTTCTACCTCAAAACAATTGAAACTCCTATTACATTAAGATTCTAAGGAAAATTCTCACGTTTTTTAGTATTTCGAGTATAGTAGTAACTGAATGCGATATAACAGTAAGCAATTATACATATACCAACCTGCTTTTCAATTGTACGAAGTTCTTCCTGAAGCTTTTGTCTCTTACTCAAAAGAGATGAAAGCATGGCCTTGGGATTGTTCGAAGTTTTCTGCCCTAATGATTATTATGCACCCGTAAAAATGAATAATTTTACGAAGCAAATAAATTCGTAAGGAAGCAGTAGATGAAATTAGGGCTTTTCTCATAAGGGATTACCTTGGGATTCCATGAACCCGCCAAATTCCAGAAAGATAACTGAAATTCAAAAATAAGCGAAGTAGAATTAGGGTTCGGGTTCAAATTTTGGGTTTCTTGCTACAGAGTCAAGTCCAAGCTCGTTTCACTGCTATGGATAAACCTAAAGCATCGATGAATTGGGGAAAACAAGCGGCAGGTAGTTTTTAAACTTTTGCTGTTTCCTTTATTGGTGAATTGCAGAATAGTCCCCAAGGTTTATATATTTTACGACTAGACCTCTAATCTTCCCATGTTATCAAATTAAACCATGAGTTTCCCTTTTATACTTTGGGAGGTGTGCTTTAACTTTTAATGACATTTGTATGCAAAGTACTTTTTATTTAATTCTCATATATATGTTGTATTGATTTCATAGTTCATAGCATTGATCAAGACACAACATATAGGACACAATATATGAATAGAAGGCCAAATTTCTAAATGAATGTAATGTTTACAAATAATTACTTATTGCATATCATTTTGAGGTACATGTGAAAACTGGATTTGGTCAGTTCACCTCAAAATTGAGTGTGCTTAATCCGACCCGAATTGATTTGAGTTATATTAACTGTGATTGATATCGCCATATTTGACCCTAGTTTACCAAAATCATATCCACATTCTTAGATTACCGTAAAAGACAAAGAAACCTCATGTTTTTCTAGCTTTTATGATTTCTAACGACTAGTGATCATTCGAATAAGATCTTTTGATACCTTTAGACCGATTTACTCTTCCAAAGTTGGAATACATAGATTTTGTAATGATTTGGTTTAATCACACTCAACAAAACACTATCTACTCTATAGTGTTCACATTTATTTTGATTTCTCTAGTAACGAGGTCAATGTCTACGTAAAACGCATACTACTAATGTAATAAAAGTATTGACAGATATATGTTATTAAAAATAACTATATCTTTGTCATTAACTTTCAAATAATATATGTTACACTAAATTATTATAAAACAAAGTAATAATTTTAAATATACAATACTATATTTATTCGTGTGTTCCACATGAAAATAAAAATAAATTTATTTTTTATTTATAGTATTGTATATTTAAATATAGTATTGTTTTCGAAAAAGAATTTTGGTTTGAAATCTGGGACATTACATATTTGATCCTAAAAACTGATTAACCATAATTTTATATCTTAAAATCATATCATCTCAATAGCTTCTATTCGTGTGTTCCACATGAAAATAAAAATAAATTTATTTTTTATTTATAGTTATTTTGAACTATTATTATGGTTAATCAGTTTTTAGGATCAAATATGTAACGTCCCAGATTTCAAACCAAAATTCTTTTTTGAAAATATAAGTAAAACATCCAAATCATTTTCGTAAAAGATCAAGGTAGTAAATTGTTTTAAACATCATCAAACCATAATATCAAAATGTATCAAGTCATCATAAAATAGATGAAGTCTATAAAAAATATAAGTAGCGATGCGTGTGCAATACAGTCAAGGTGGAGCCTTCCGACGATCAAAGGAACTACCTTAAAACATTTAATCAAAAACTATAATCACAAAGCTTAGTGAGTTTCCCAAAATACCACATACTACATGTAACACCTGTTCTAGATATTACTTAATTTAATTAAGATTTAGGGTTTTGGTGTGTGGACTCGACGAGTTGGGAGTCCAACTAGTCGAGTAGAGGACATTTCAAGGACGCGGAATCTACACCCTACTCGACGAGTTAGAAGGCCAACTCGACGAGTAGGCGCTGTAATGATAAAACCCTAATTTTAGGGTTTGCACCCTATATAATCTCCTTATGAGCCTTGAGGTTGACCTCCCATCAGCCTCCAAACCCTAAGAACGTCTGTGCTAACCCTAATCCCCATTCTCTTCCATTTTGTGAGCTAGAGTGACCTTTGAAGCTTAAGAAGAATGAGATATTGAGAAGCTCCAGCAAACCAAGCACCAATCCTTGAGCTTAATCATCTTGTGGACTGCTGTAAATCTTCAAGACTCGATTCATTTACCTCCAGAGCAAAATGGTCCCAAGGTGGGCTAGATCTGGCCTTTGGTTGAGCAAGGACAACATGCAAGGGTTTTAGGGCATGTTTCTCTCTTTTTGGCCATTTTGACCTAGGGACATGTATTGGACATACATGTCCATAAAGCCTCCATCTTTGGAACGTTTTGAGGAATAGTAACCTTTCTGGGAAGGAGAGATTTCAGATCCCTAGAGTTTTGGACCATATGGCAAAGCTTTGGAACTTTCCAACCTTTGTTAAGGGCCTTGGAGCATTTGGAATGGTTCTAGAAGGTAAAGTTGGAAACTTTATCCTTCTAGACACCTTAGGGTTTTAGATCTAAGCCTTGGAGTCCCTGGATTCGGTGTATCATCACAACAAGCAAAAAGGAAGGGGACTCGACGAGTTGTTTTAGGAACTCGACGAGTCGAGTTGGGTTTCCCCATCTTCTGGATATCAAGTGAACTCGGAGAGTTGATGAAACAACTCGGCGAGTTGGCTAAGGTTTGACCAGGTCTTCTTGACTCGGTAGGAACTCGAAGAGTTGCTAGATGCACTCGACGAGTTGAGGTCAACATAGACTGTTGACTTCGACTTTGACCACGGTGGACCAGGGTTGACTTTGAGGGTAATTTTGGGATTTTGAAAAGTCTGTCTTATGATGCTTTTAGGCAGTTGAATTGGAGCAGCACGTGGGACATATCCGATTCTAGTTTATCAGCACAGCATTCGTGAGAGCTGAGTCTCCCCACCATACCAATAGGTCTAAGGCACCAAGGCCGGCCCATTTTATGATGTGTAGTATCCTAGCTGAGATTGTATTATGTGACATGTTAGTTGGTATGGGCTAGGAAGTATGTTATTGATATATGTGGTATGTTGTATGGAAGACCATGGGAGAGCCCATGACACTTGGATGTAAGACCATGTGGAGAGCCCATGGCTTTCCTATCGAAGACCATGGGAGAGCCCATGGAACTTAGGTGTAAGACCATGTGGAGAGCCATGGCATCCTGGAGTAAGACCCTGGGGATGAGCCCACAGCATCCTTATCTGTTGTATGCATGGTTTATGCGATATGTGTGTAGCTATTATTGCTAGTATGATATGTTGTATGTGTTGGATTAGGTGTCTAAGCCCATAACTATTTTGGTATGTACTTGACCCGATTATGAGCATGGTCCTTTTGGGTTGCCTTCACCTTAGCAACTGATAGG